AACCGGCCCGGGCGGTTCGGGCCGGGCCCGGTTCTTTTTTTTTTTTTTTTTTTTGGTTTTTTCAATTTTTTTTCTTTTCCTAGGGTAGGGCTGGGTGTTTTAGGGAGGTTTGGGGTGTGGGGGTGAGGGGGGGGGGGGGTAGGGAGATAACAAGAAAGTCAAAAAAAAAAAAAAAACATTGAACCGGGCCCGGCCCGGCCCGGCCCGGTTAGGCCCGGACCCGGTATCAACCCGGGCCGGTTCCGGGCCCATGTAACCCGAAAAAAAGCCCGCCCGGGCCCGGCCCGGAACCGGAACCGGACCGGCCCGGGTCCATCCCTAATTCAACTAGTAAAATAAAAATGAGGGGTTTGGCAAAAAATATTGATCGGGAGAATTCGAGTTACCAAACGAAGGTATTTTTCAAGCTAAGCTGTTAAGATATGGGTGGACGGATGAAGTTCATGGCCGCCATGCACCACCACTCTACTCCACTCCACATCTTACTTCATACTATTATGAGAATTCAGATGGTAATTATTTTTTTGCAGAACGCAATTAATTCTGCACAGTCAACACATAGATCAATTTTATTAAATACCAAAGGATAAGATAAAAACATTTTAAAACGTTTGACGACATACTGAGCTATTTATGATTATGATATGGAAGAGAATTGAAGTTGAGAAAGCCTCGACTGATTATACATAGTGAGTCAGATGAATGAAAATTACGTACACGTTGACAATGACTGTTTTAATGATGAGGCAAATTAATTAGCTCCCAACCAAACGATCGTATATGCAGCGACAGTTAGGGCTGACCTGCATGGTTTTCCAAATGGCACACCTTTTGACCTACTTCATACTTTGTGTCATTTAATAAGGGTCTTTCAAATGATACCAATTCCCATTTTTAAATGTGTATTTTATCTACTCTTGTAGAAATCATTTGTCAACTTTAATTTGTGATTCCAAATTCTTTAGTAACAATACCTACGTTATACAAAGTGGTATGGATATACCTAGCTCAAAAAAACTAGCGGTTGTCTCCCATCTTTGTAAGAATTGAAATATTCCGCCGCCCCGGCCCTATCAATATGGGACTGGAGCGGCAAATGATACTAATTTTAAGTTTTCTAAAACTTGGGATTGCAACTACGTTGGAGGAGATAACGTTCGCAGATAAACAGCAGGTTGTGCTGAAAGTTTGTATCGGTGTTGGATCATGCAGCCTTGGTCGGCCGTTCGGACGGTGGTGGAGTTAATATTCACCTATATTCAGGGACAGTGCCAAGATACTGGACCGGACTGAGCCGGTACAATGAATATTTTTCGAAAAAAATTTATACAGAATTTTTAAACTAAAATTAAAATATAGACATTTTTTAAAATTTGGGATGGGCCAGGGCCTAGGCTGGCCACCCCTAGCTACGCCCCCCGGGCCCTGCCTATACTGCAAGAGCTCGTCCTCATCCGGAACCACCTCCGTACCATAAAGAGTTTTGTGGAAAGATTTACGGAGTATTTCATTATTATTTTTTCTTTAGTAGTACTTGTTTTTGTTTTAGTCCGAGTAGGTTTGGTTTGAATGTTTGCATTTTTGGAGTTGTTTTGATAGACATGATTTCAATTCTGATTGTTTTAGGCTTAAATTTGCCCGTTTCAAGTTTAACGAGTCGGGTTGTTTTATATGAGGTGTCTCACTCTATATATGCCCACTCAGCTCATAAGGTTCACGATTGGATATGGGATGTCAAAAAAACCCGACCCGCAATGACCCGCCCTGGCCCGAGACATTTGGGCCGGGTCTGCCCCGCCCCGACCCATTGCCATGCCTAGTAAAAGCTGTCTGAAGGTTGTCTTGTATGTGTTCTCTATTTAATATAAAAATCGCTCTTTTATGATTAAAAAAACTTCAATTTAATTTGTATCTAGACCAAAAGAAAAAACTTTATTTTGTATCTATTTGATGTCACACTTTTTTTAAAACGGATCTTTACTTCTTTGTACGGAGTAAAGAAAGAAAGAAAATGAAATATAGGAAGATTTGCAGTTTAACATTTAGAGCTAGTATCTACAATACAAAAAAGTGACCACATCTCATATATGTGATAAGAGATAGAAAGACAAAGAAATGGCATATCAGTTATTTCGGTGGTTTTCTTTGTTTTGGTCAATATTTCTTTGCAAGCATAACGTCTAGGTTTGGATGTTGTGGTTCACATTGTTGATAAAAAATAAGAAATTATTCTAAATAAGAGTAAAACGTAACATTTTAATTCCAGAATAGGACCATTATATAGGCTAGCAAATCAATGGGATGAGACACTGGCAACACAAATCAAATCTAGTGACTACAAATGAATCTCTAGAATTCTCCTAAAAAATATCTTCATTCATTCTATACTCTTCTACTATGTAATTCTAAATCTATTACCTAGAATATGGTTTTAGGACATGGATCATCTGCTCTGGGCTACTTATTTGGGTTTTCCTATTTTTTAAATGCCAATGTGCTAGCTAATCATCAAGTTCAATTTTTCAACACAAATTTAGAAATATTTGTTGAGAATAGTTTATATTTTGTTATGTATAGTATGGTTTTTTGTTAAAAAGGATAAACATAATTTAGTGATACTCTCTTAGTATATAATTCTACCTTATTGATCAAACCAGCTTTTATATGTTAACTACTTATTCATCATGTCTCGCAAAAACTAGACAAGTTTGACTTGCACTTGAACTAAACAAAGTAAAAATTATGTGATTAGAATTTATACAAAGAAATATAATAACTTAATCACATGTTCATTACTTTAAATTAAAGAGAAAAAGCATTTTAGACGATTAAAAAGGAAAATTTGATAAAAATTTATGTCGTAATGAGTATTTAGTTTGTTGGGAGGAGGATAATGAAATGTCCTCATTAAATGGGACTCCAGCCCTGTGTGTGAGACTGAGGTTTAATTAACCAAATTTCATCATGATCGACATTGCTAATGTTGTAAGGTGTTAGTCATGGTCTCATGGAACTAGGATTGCATATATCCTCCTACTATTTTAGTCCAAATTTAGCCGGCCTATGACCAATGAACCATTTTTAGTTAAACATTGGTTCCGACTCTCGAATCACTTTAGGTCTAACAGATTCAATGATTCTAATTCTAGTGGGGCCCCATTTTTCTCAATTTGAATAATAATTATTGTGTCTCATGAAGTTTAATCCCACGACATCCACTTGATTGATGTTTACCCGAAATAATATCAAATAAATGTGTGTATTCTCGTATATTAAAAACTTTGTCTTCTTTCTTTTTTGTTTCAAAAATTTTACAATTTTTCGTTTTAATCAATTAATTTTTAATTCCTGATATTTCTCTATTTTGCACGAACCTCAATCAGACAATTTTTATTTTATTCTTTGTCATATCTCTCAAACTTGTGGTTCATATCATTTGTTCTCACTTTCTCTTTTTTGCACATGCAACGTTAGCTCACACATTTCTTAATTTCTTAATCTGCGTGCAAATTTAAAACCGGATTTACTTTGGGCATAGTAGTACAAATTAAAATATTAGTACTCATTTGTGTAATTTTAAGAATATTGATATCAAAGCTAAGGTTCCTAAACTTTGATTTATAGACCAACCCCTTCACATATCTGAACTCTATATATGCAAAAAGTTGGTCAAATCTTCACATGATGATTTGGTTTAGTGATTAAGCAAACATCCAAAATTTTCTGGATGCATGAGTTAAATATTATACTCCGTATCTATATTTATAGCTAAAATTAATAGTGCTCATCAAATAGCAAAAAAAATGTTCCAAAACGTACAACATAATTATAACACAATGAACTTTGATACATTTTCAAAGAATTAAGGGACATGACTAAAATGCACAATTTGTAAAACACTTTCAATAGTCATTTCGCAATTGGAGACGCAACCTGAGGAAAGTTCACTGCTCTTGTTGCCTTATACTCCGTATGATTGTATTTCCTACTTCTATGCGTCACTTCTCGTTTTAATTTTGTAGTTAACTTTTTTAGTGCAAGATGTGGGCTGCATACTCTAAAGTAGTACAAACCTACACATGAATACTCCGGTATAATACAGATCTCAATTGGATGTATAACTTATATAGTTCAGTTTTTAAACTAATTATAATACACAACCAGAGTTTATTTCGTTAATTCGAGCCAGATAATAAGAAATCTTGGGAGAACTAAAGCATTTAATTTCTAATTTTGATATGTTTTTGTTATATTCATAGCCCGTTTGGTGACTCTGTTTTTCGTCTTATCAGTCAACTTTTAACCAAACATGTAAATTTTGATTTTGCGTGCTGAATTGTGTAATAATAAGAAAAAATAAGGTTGGAGTTAATTTTCTGGTTTTATTGGCTGAAGTTACTTTTTCATATAATTGTTTCTTTATTTTATTAATAAAATTTATTTTCAATATAATTTTTTCATAAATCAGCAGAAATAACCGATTCAACCAATTTCAGTGTTACCAAATGAGCTCTCAATGTGCTGATTTAATATGTGAGTTTGCAGTATGTTGCATATTTTTCAAATCATATTACTGAGTTTGCAGTACTTTTTATTAATTTACAATCATCAGACTAGTTCAGAGTCTTAAGACTCGATTATGTTAATATTTCACCCAATAAAATTCTGGAAAAGATACTCAAGTCGAAATCAATAACAAAGAAACCAAACTCAAATCATCCAAAGTTGATGGAAGCCTACGTATTGTCTCGTCTACAATTATTGTCGTCGGAAGTCTTCTTCTTGAAGAATAGGTGACCAGAAGTGGAGAGTTCTCAAAAAGAGCCCTACTTAAATCGTTGTCATACTTGTCAAGCACATCACGATTACAAATATCAATTTTAGACTCTTCAGGCTTCAGCCTTCATCAAGTTAGAATTTTTGACAAAATATGACCTAACTCGGACGCCTAAAAATATTAAAGGGAAACCATTGTACAAAACAACAAATTTTCTACAGATATTTTTGCCAGAACTAGCCAATAATAAATAAATGATATTGGAATGATAACATTTTATAGCATGAAAAACATTACAAAGACGGCATCAAATTCATTTGTTCACTCAAAGGCGCTAGGCAACTAAATAATTTTTCTTTAAAAAAAATTAATTAAAATACATGGGGACTTCAAGTCTTTTCTTGGACCAAAAACAAATGCGGAATAAGAATAGATAATAAAAACTAAAATGAAAGCCAATCCAAACCAGACAAGGAATAGGGAAGGCTCACCGGATTAAGGATACACTATACACGATCTTCAATTCTATGCTACAGAATAGGCTTTCCTTGAAGCTAGTGGAAAACAGATGAAACTTAGAGTTAGTGTTTTAACTTCTAAAGCCAAACGCGGACCATTTCCTTGATGACGATTCTTTCTTTGTCCTCTTGGAATTAGGGTCGATGAGGTTTTCCAGTGATTTGGCCTTCTTGTTTCTACACTTGCCCGCCTCTTTCAGCAGCTCAGCCAGCCTTTTCTTCTCATCATCAAAGTCAGGATTTGCCGTTCCAAGCTTCTCCTCTCTCAATTTAAGAACGTACTCCAAAATCTCTATTGCGTCTTCAACTCTGTGCATTCATACAATTGAGCAATCAATGAAGCATTTGATGGATGTCATAAAAGTTATGTGTGAAATTTATGAATTGAATGGTTTCTTGTTTTTATTTATTTATTTGAAAGTATAATGGATGGATTAAAGAGAATTCATTAACCCATTAATATTCTCTAAAAGGTAAAAAACAATCTGTTCATGATCTTACAAGTCTATATAAAGAATTACTCTCTCCGTCCACTTATCATTGTCTCATCTTTCATATTTCATTCATTTCACTAAGTTTATCATATTCCATATTTAGTAATATTTGTGTACGTTTTAATTCATTCTTATTTTGTTCACACCAACCACTTAACTCCCTTTTTTATATCAATCTTCCACTAGGGAAGAAAAATAGTACATTTGAGGCATTGTCTCGGTATGGAAGATTCTTCTTCTAAAAAGGCAATTAAAAAAGGGCAAGTGACTTAGCTAGTCAATTACTTCCCAGTAGTTGAATAACTTCCGGGGCACAGAGTATGTTTGTCATGACTCATTACATTTCATCTAGATTGTAGAAGAAATGCTTTGATTTCATCTATAAACTACAGCAGGATATTTTTTTGTTTAAGGAGAACCTTGGCGCACTAGAGTTAAGGTCTTGTGTGACCGAGATGTTATGGGTTCAAGTCTTAGGAGTTGCCTATTGTAGAAAAAATAGATGGGGAAAGCTTGCCCCTTGAACACCCTTCTCCGGACCCTCGTCTTACGGGGATGCCTTGGTGCACCGGACTGCACTTTTAGTAGATGAACATTTAAGTAGATTAAATGAAAAGATACTTGGGGTATCTTTTCATATTATCTAACACCATTCCATCTTTTCTCATATCCAATATTCTCTCCAACTTTTACTCAATTCCCATAATTTTATTTCTTTTATGTATATATTAAAACTTTTTTATGTCAATTCACATTTTTCACAAATCATTTCATCTAATCCTGGAACTTGCATATCATTTTAATATCGCAAGTCATCATCATATACTCTAATTTCATCTTTCACCTATCATATTATGTTTCATCAATCACCTAGATTTTCACCTAGAATTGTGAAACAGTCTATAATACATTCAATCCATCCATTCACAATTTTGGCCAACATAGAAATAAATCATATTAAATGTAGAAAATTAAACCAGTCTCAGGAATTTTAAAGATTTCTTTTAGTGCAGTGTTGTGGTCCAATGGATCAATAGCAATAATGGATGGATCACTAACCATCCATATGATACAAATGCATGGATTAGGACCGATCCATTATTAATATTCTTTTAAAGAATAAAAAGGATGGAATTTCAGTATCAAAAAAATAATAATAAAGGATGGAATTTAATTTACTTTGGACAGATAAATCTCATCAACCTTATGTTATGAGCAAGAAATACAATTTTACCTTCCCATTGCATCGTAAGTTGCCGCAAGGTTACTGTACACACCAAGTGTATCTTGATGGCAAGGGCCACACTCATGTTCCAAGATTTCTCTTGCTTCTTCAAACAGTTCAGCAGCCTCATCAATTTTGAACAACTGCACAGATGACAAGCCCATTTGGTTTAACACCACCCCAAAGAAGGCTGATTTCCTCTCCCCGCTGGCTCTAAGTTTTGCCACTGCACTCTCGAAAGAGCTTCGTGCTTCATCATATCTTCCCACCATATAGAACATCACACCCATCCTTGCCTCTAATCCAGCAATTGTACTTTGCTGCCCCGGTTTATCCTCCAACAACTTCAGAGACTTGGACAACAGCTTCAGTGCTTCTTCGGGTTCATTAAACAGTTCATATATGGAAGAAATTTCTGCCATTCCACTTGCAATATCTTCTGCACTAGTACCAGGAACGGGTTTTGCATATATCCTAAGGGCATTCTCACAATATGATCGAGACTCCCTCAGCTTGCCAGTCTTGTAGTATAAATCAGCAAGCCTCACAAAAACAGAGGCAACCGAAGGATGGTTATCACCCTTTGATGATTTGAAGACAGTAAGTGCCTTCTGGTAGGAGAAAACCGCCTCATCGAAGCGAGACAGAGACAAGTAGATGTTACCAATGCTAACATCAATAGCAGCAACCTCATTCTCTTGTCCATTGGCAATCATTGCCATGCTGGCGAGCACAAGGTGTTCAAGTGCAGATTCATAATCACCCTTTGCCTCACATATGAGAGCCATTAACCGCCGATCAGCAGCTTCTTCGAGAGACGCTGGAGGGCTGTGGACTCGATGTATTTCAAGTGTTCTTTTACACAAACTCTCAGCCTCGTTGAATTGCATTGCCTGAACATGTGCCTCGGCAAGGTACCTGCGATATTAAACCATTTGCCACAAGGGCAGCCAATAAATATGCAACTTAGGATGCTGCATTAAGGAACTTAATTTCTTATATGAAACACAAACGATTATCCCTTATACCTAGATTCACAAGATTTCAACTTTTATGGTTTAACCGCCTCACAAGAAAATAACTTGCCTAGCTACTTTTTCTCCATTACCTAGCATTTCCCTGAATCTAAAATTCCAAACACACCCTAGATCTCTTGATCTAACATCACTTTTTGAAAACAGCATGTTTCCATCAATTTTTCATTTCCAGATTCTTTTAAAAAAATATCATTTCTCCATTTTCCAAATTTTCTTTCCCTATTTCTTCAATTTTGTGCATCATATAGATGCACCTAGAGTAGATCTAATACTCCTACATTCCCAACATATGACCTCATTGTAATTGAAAAATAATTTATTAATGGAATGCTTTCATATGCAGTCAAACAAAATCAATGAAAAAAATATGAATAAGTTCGTTTTGATAAAAATATATTGGTGTAAGTAATACTGCAAAGAAAACATAGCAAAATTTTGCATAAATTGTGAGAATTAGAGCCTGTTTAATCCTTAGAATAGCTTAAGTGGCTAAGTATGCTTAAGTTGTAGCAGAAATAGCTGATGCTCAATCTTCTAAATTATCTATAAAAAAAGTATTGGAAAATGTATTTTTTACCGGGTAGGCAAACCACCCATCAATGGGGTAAATATTGTAAAATGTATATCTAAATAAACTAAAGACCATAATTTGTAAAAATAAAAAGGTCAATTCCATCCATTTCGGCCATTTCAGACAACAAATCAACTCATGATCTACTCTTTTCATTATCAGCCGAGTATGCGAGTACATTAAAATAAGTTGGTGTTGGGTGACACAGATGGGTTGATAAGGTTGATAAGCCAAAAATGAAGCCTGCCAAACAGCTCTAATAGTTTTGAGCAAAATGGGAATAGGGATTGGTTTGGCTTTTTGCATAATAATTATTCTGTATAACTATGTAAACTGTGTGGTTGAAGATACGTTCTTATTTATCTAGAGCACATTTGGTAAGGCTTATTCGACTTCTAGCCTTATATAGCCGATATGGCTGAATCTGCTGACTTTTCAAACTGAAAATTGTTTGCTAAAATTCATTTAACTCAAATAAGTACATTCAAAGCTCTTCTTATTCTTCTTAACTAGAAGAACAAAACACTTTTGGCTACCAAACAGGATCCTTCAATAAATACACTTTTGGCTACCAAATGAGCTCCTATTTATATGTGGCAAAATGATAAACAAACAGTGATATAATCCCATTTGCTTTGCGTTTACTTGTGTAAATATTCTACAAGTAAACATGAATTAGATGTAAATTAAGAATATATACTATTGTAGTAAAATTGAAAAGTTCACAAGTCATCAAATGTCATTTTGTTCTTAATATCTGTATAAAATTAACTTGGACCAATAATTTGTAGCAGATACACGGATAGAGCATTAATAGTTCAAGCTCTCTACGTCTCTTAAAAGGAGGTCCTAGTTTGACTTTCACATAGTTTAATGATAATTTTTTGACTTCCTATAATGCCCATTAACCCCATTTTATTGACAAAACAATTAATGAGCATGTAACATCCTCACTAATGAGCGCGTAGAGACGGTAGAGTGATATGGTTGACATATTAAGCATATGTGTTAAATAAGTACATTAAATTATTATAAAGGAATTACCATACATTAAAATATTTAATATTACGTATATAGAACCAATCATTTACTTCCACATGAACTAACATGCTCATTAAAATTATTGATTTTACTGAGGATATATATGATTATATAGTACAACGTTTGACCGTACAGTTATTATTGATTGAGGTTAGTTGAGTAGATTCAGATTGATAAGATTTTTTTACCACAAAAGGGAAGGACAACATTATCAGGGACATTCCGAAAAAGGAATAAATGAAAATTAAATAGGGATGAAAGGAGCAATATAGAATATAAAAAATCGCTGAATAAGATTATTATTAATTTATTATCACTCATCATGATCCGTAAGGCTTCATCACGACTAAACAATTTCCCAAATATTTGGGGCGGGTGGCATTTTTTTAAGCTCCAATTGATTGTCTAAAATGAGTTAATATCATAAATCCATACAAAAAAAGAAGGTAACGTTTAACACTAGAGGCTCTTCTTGTCTTAATCTTCTTAAAAAGATAAGATATAATGAGAGAAACTTTATAAACAATCATCACCATAGGTTATTTCCACATGCATGAAAAATATAAATAGCTATATAGGCACTGTGCACGAAACGGAAATGAGTTAAGATAGTCGCTACTGTTGAAGTGTTGGTCACACAGTGCCACAACATCTAAATATAAAAAAAGTCAACATATTAATCGTGGACTACTCTTATCACGTTAACTTTTTAACATAGAACCTCGTGAGTTGGAGTAAGAGGTTAGTTTGTTCCATTGATTCTGCCTTGATGTTATTCAACTTGACATTTTAGAATGGAATCCTAAGTTTTAATAGTTACTTCGTACATGCCTACATAAGTACACAAAATATCATAAAGGACCATGAGCTTAGATAGTTGTTACTATCATGTCTCATTACAAGATTTATATTGTGAAACCATGATACAAACATGATCATAATTAGTTTTAAAGAAATTTCCCTAAATAGGAGTAAAAACGTTTGTGAATTCCAAAATAAGATTATTATGTTTTTAATTTTTACTCCGGTATTCCCTAAACATGAGTAATTAAGCCATGTTTTGGCATTACCAGGCTTTAAATACGGCAGTATTTGCCATACTTGGCGGTAATTACTCATATTTAGGGACTAAAAACATAGTACTCCTATTTCGGGAATTTTCCCTTAGTTTTACTTTGATATTTTCACTTTCAATTAAATTTATTAAAAGTCTTTTACGCAAAAGGATAAAACACATATACCTAAATACCCTTTTAGACAAACCTAAAAAATCAAAGCATATTACTAGTAGTATGTTTCAATCATTAGCTTTCAATAATGTTATTGGATTTTCAAATTTAAGCTTCAACCATTTTGGTAAACTTGGTGAGATTACAAATGAAATAAAGTTGTGCAGTAGCATTTAATTTTATAAATTCGTTGATTCATATGAGAGTAAACAATTAACATTAACATACTTATTGTGACACTCAATTACAATATTAAAGCCAACTATATTTTCCAGCCATCTAAGATTTTGTAAGGAATTGTTGCTGATCTAATGCTATCCCTTCTCATCTGTCTTACCATAGCCACTATTATCTAGAGAACCATTATATAATTACAACTGATATAATACAGTTCAAAAGAAACCATATAGTTTGGCTCAATTTTTTATCTAATGTTTTTTCTAAAATAGGTAGCGGAAGGACAATGAAATAGATTTGGTTTACCTGCAAGTCTCTGCAACTCTCGGGTCAGTATCTCCTAAAGCATCCATCTGCACTTTTAGGCCCTCTTTGTAACACTCAATCGATCGATCCAGCTGACCAAGCATGGAATGAGTGTCTCCCAGCTGCATATGCCCTGAGAATGCTGCAAGCGCGTGATCCGCACCCCTGGATGTATCCGGCACCGTAATGGCTCTCTCAAGCACCGGAAGAGCTTCCTCGAACCTGCCTAGGCTACAGTAAATAGCAGCCAAAACATGCAGACTCATCGCCAGGTCGAGACTTGGCTCGCCGTTGACAGCGCACCTCTCAAATGACTTCGAAGCCCGGAGAGCATAATCCAGGGCCTTATTCGGGCCCTCTCCGGATGCTATCGTATCCCTCGCAAGCTTCAACAGGAACGGCCCGAGATCCGGGTTGTCAAGCGAAGATTCATCAATGACAACCTTCTCAGGCGGCGATTTTTTCTTCCCGGAGCTCCGATCCGGAGACGGCTTGGCTCGAGAAGACGAAGGTGAAGGAGAGGGGGGTCTCCGTTGAGCTGGCGAGCTGAATTTCGCGTTAGCTTGCTCGGATCTAACTGAATTAGTTCCGATCTGGCTCTCACTCCCCTCAGGAACTATGATTCTCAACGGAGTAGCTCCCGGCGGCGTTTTCATTGACACTACCCCCGGCATTTCTTCAGTTCACAACCAAAAAAGGAACTGAAAGAAGAAATCTACTCTCTTTTTCCACAATAAAATCAATCGAAATTATCAAACTCCTATTGTACAATTATTATAATGTAGAATGTGCTTCACAAAACGCGTTTGAATTCGCAATTTATTGAAAAAAAGAGAATGAATTATAGATTACAACAAGCCACCATTTTCTAACCAGTGGAACAGCAGCTTACAGCTACGGAGGGAGAGTGGAAGATGGAGATCGGGTTCGGTTGGAGACGAGACTGGGGACCACTGTTCAGTAGACCGTCGACACCTGATGTTTTCATTAAGATCCGACTGGATCTAAACCGACCGGAAATTGATGGGCCAGATTCGTGACTGGTTTATCGCTATAGCCTAAACCAATAAGGTGGCGGCATGTAATACGGGCTGCCGATAAAGTATGTTCGGGCAAATGAGCTGGGCCCATGATACGATTTGATTTGTTCGAAGTTTCCGTTAGACACAGTGCAGAAGCCGTGTGGAACGCAATATGTCCGAACTCCGAAATTTTAAATTTAAAACTAAAACATTCACCCATTTTTCTGAAAGAAAACCAAACCATATCCAATTAAATCAAAAAGTCATTTGCCAACTAGCTACAAATGCATTTAGGAAGTGGATGAAAAATAATTCTACTATCCGCATATGAAAGGTTAGCACTTGCTGACTGACTGAATAATTCGCTTCATCTTGAAGCAGAAGTCTAATATCCTCAACAATAAGGTTAAGATAGAAAGCTCCGCTATCTCCTGAAACTCTCGTAGTAACTAGAAGAGCGTTCGTTTCAATAATCACCGAGACCATTCATGTTCCTTCGCTCGCAAAATTGCTTTCCGAACAGTCATGGCCTTCATTGTAAAAGATGACAACCTTGTCTTACATGTCTCATTGCCCGCACATAGGAAGTTCCCCCCTTCGTCTCGAGCTACCCAGCCCCAGGATCTTTTACCTCGCCTCTCTTGATTGTACCTGTTGCCCTGCTGTCTCTTGAGCTTTCCTCCACCCGCACAAGGTTACTACACTTGCCAGAAGAACTTGGTTCGAGTTGAACTGGGTGTTCTTCCACACAACCTCTGAACCTCATTGCGTGACTTCCAAATGCTCCAAAGGGTTGAAATAAAGACACATGGATCTTCCTCTACTAATTTCTCAAAAGCTGATTTCACCCATCCCTTTAATGAACCATACTGCTGCTGAAAATAGTTACCCAAGTTTCTCCATAGATTTGCCACACATATGCATTCTTTAAAAAGATGCAGCGAGCTCTCATCTCCTGCATTGCAAAGCCGACATTCTCTTGGGATATCCACGTGTCGTCTGCGAAGATTCTCCGCTGTAGGAAGAACTTTAGTCATAACCTTCCAAAAAAAATGTTTCATTTTAGGTTGTACAAAAAAACTCCACATGTGAGTCCATCCCGACCATTCCTCCTCCTGGTATTCTCCTTTAAGTTTCATGTAGGCACTCTTGACAGTGTGTTAGTCCCTATTTCTAACAACCAAACAATCATAAGAATGAAAGAAGCAGATAGATTAAACAGAAATCTTGTACATCGTGTAATGGCCGCTGCTCTCCCTCTAGAGAGAGAGCTGCTGAAAACTATTCTCTCTATTCTGCCTCTATACTCTAATGCCTTAGCTTGGTTTTCCTCATAAGTTAGCTTCCTTTTATAGGAGTGGATGGCTAACTTATGGCTTACAAGAGAGGCTAATGGGTTGATATGGCTCTTGTGGCCCATTTACACATTTAACTAACAAATACACAAATACAAAGGCATCTAACTAGATTCGAAACCAGAAAAAGTCCTAACAATCTCCCCCTTGGTGTTCAATCTTGTTTGATCAGCATTGCATCACAGATGTATTTGTCTTTGTGTTCAGTTGCTCCTCAATGCAGCTCAGCTTCCTTTGTCTTTGCACTCGGCTTCTTGAAAAGGATTTTTGAAGAAATCCTTGCAATCTCCCCTTTGATGTCTTCATGGCAATTTGTTCTTTGATGTCGGGGAGTTGAAGAATCTTCAGGATGTAGCTTGTGATCCTTACCCTTCAGAAGTTGCTCTTGATCAGCATTAATGAATTCCGATGGCGCCTCTGGAACGAGTGTTCAGGTGATATACAGGCGCACACAGGATTCATCTTCAGAACTTGAATACTTGACCTTTGTCTCCTCAAAATTTACGTGGCACAATGGAAAATTATTGATTTTTTTTGTTGAGGAGATCTCGTTAGTGGCACAGCGAAATAAGATAGTTGACTTGTGAGCGTAGCTGACCATTTGATTTGAAGCTGGCTTGGCACTTGAGTTGAGAAACAAGAGTGTCATCGTTGTTGTTGTTGTTGTTGTTGTTTTTTGTGCTGGAGGAGAGAAGTATCCAAAAATGATTTGTTGATAGTGACAGCATGTGGACTACTCTCCCCCTCATGACGATCCGATGAATCGGGGCGTCATGCCTTTATTCTTTTATTCTGGGAAACAAAATTGGAAACAGACAGAAAAGTTAAATGATAAAACCGGATACACTAAAGTGTTCCGTTAACACAACATCAATGTAAACACTGATGTGTGGCCTGTATAAAATGATAGAAGCATTAAAGCTCTAACAGGACTTCCAACCAATCATTATGAAGAATCTGAAGTAGATGTCACTCTGGTTGTTGAGGCATGATCATGAAGATCAGCAATGAAAGTGGTAGCCCCCCGAGGTCGTGAAGACACTCGTTATCATCACTATAGAGATAAACTCTAAAGCGATGGCCTGAACATGTTGGTGATTTCTATGTTGCAACAGAAGGACTTCCTTCCAATCATCGGTCTATCTATAGTAGATGAGCCTTATGGAAGTTCTCGCATGGTCACTTAGACCTTCAACTGACTCAAAAGTGTGTCTGTGTCCTAGAAAAATTCAAAACATTTGGGAGTGAGATAACTAGACACAGTGTGATCAATGATAGTCCAGTGGCATGGGGCTGAGGCCACTGTAGTCAGTATCACTTGCCTCGGAAGGAGACAATAATGAGATATGAGGTTCCCCGTGAAATATGATTAAACACCTGTCTGTTGGGAGACAAGTGAATGGTCTTGGGTAGGGTTGTGCATGCGCCGTTTGGACAAAATGCAGCGACTTCTACCCGGGATCTGAATAATTTCAGTCCTGAACCTATGGGGATTGTCCAGAGTATTTGAGTGACTGGGAGTAAATGTTAAATTGATAGTAGGTAGTTGAGGTAGCAGACTTATCATTAATTATTGTTCTCTTGCTCGATTGAGCCTACTGCTTCCTAACGCTCATAGAGTTCACTCACTCGCTTACTCTTAGCTTTGTCCCTTGGGTAGGCTTAGTTGGGTTTACTAAGCCATCATGACTTCTCTCTCATTTCTCTCTCATTCCATTGTTTATTTTCTCTCTGTGCTCCCCCTCAACTGAAGCACTCGGTAAGTCGGTATGCTTTGTTATCATTTGGCACTGGGGAGGATCAAATTGAAAACTCCCCCTCAAGTGTCATCCTTTGAGAGAATCCTTGCTTTGTCGTTGTATGGCGCCGGGAGGAGAAACCTGAAACTCCCCCTCAGATTGTGTAAGGGTTGATTGCTCACAGCTTGTTATACATGCCATGTGTATGGAGCAATCTGAACAGGTACCACACATGACAGTTTTCCTGAGCTCATCATCTAGACTTTCGATACATTTATGGTCACACATTGTATTGTTGATGAGTTAGGGGAGGCATCAGTAGTTGATTGTTGATTGTTATGAAATGACCGTTGACGCGAGGTTGATTGAATTATCTACGAGTTTCAAATCTTACAGTGTAGATTAGACCAACTCTAAGTTACACGGAAACGCGAAACGGGAAACGTGAAACGGGAAACGGGAAACGCGAGAAATGTAATTTCTAAAAAATATAGGATACGAAACGTGGGGGAAACGCGTAAATATTATAAAATATAAGGATATACTTATAAATACTTTTTAATATATGTACACAAATTTTTCCATATGCACGTGTTTTTTTCTTCATATAATTTGTTTAGCAACCAAATAATAAAATCACTCTACATGTTCGAATTTAGATATTATTTCATATTAGTACATAATTAAACATAAAATGTACGGAGTAATACATTTCTAGCAATACATTGCGTTACGAAATGTAACAAATGTTGCTGCTGAGAAATACCGCAAAAAAATCACTATTAAAAAAATTATTTCCCCCCCACAGAATCTTTATAAAAGAAAAAAAAAATTGGAATCCGAGGTTTCCGAAACGTAGTGAAACGGGTTTCCAAATTTTTCTTAATTACGGAAACGGCCCCGAAACGAGAATTTGAAGTTTCCGAGTTTCCGAAACACTTCCGAGTTTCCGAAACGTGGAAACGTGAGCCGTGGAGAGTTTCTGTGCTTCATCACCAACTTTGACATTTGGTTTGGCTTTGGTTTGATTTTGGAAGAATTGACCAGATTTGCCTCAGTTTTGACCTTGACTTTGACTTTGGTGATTTTTCAGAAAACAGATGATATCTCCCTCAACAATGGCGAGTGAGGGAGCGTGGGAAATGGTTCTGGGGTTGCCCCAGAATTCATGTAGATATTTTCATTAGCTTTCTGAAAAGGTATTACACGCGTAAATCGGATCACTGAGTCAAAAGTTATGGCCAAAACAGTGCAGGACGTCGAAAAGTTTGAATTTTGAACTTTGAAAAACTTTTCGAAGTTGAGGTTCTCGATGTTGGACCTCGAAATCCTTTTCTCGATGTTGAACCTCGAAAACCTTTTCTCGATATTGAATGTCGAAAACCTTTTCTCGATATTGAATGTCGAAAACCTTTTCTCGATATTGAATGTCGAAAACTTCTTCTCGATTATTGAATGTTGAAAGCGTCTTCTCGATGATTGAATATCGAAAACGTCTTCTCGATGTTGAATATCGAAAAATTCTTTTTCGATATTGAATATCGAGAAACGTGTTTTTGAGGTTCAAACTGCGAGAAACGTGTTTTCGAACTTCAATCCGCGAGAAACATGTTTTCGAGATCCAATCCGCGAGAAACCTGATTTCAAGATCCCATTCGCGAGAAATTAAACCTGTTTTTGAGATCCAATCCGCGAGAAACATGTTTTCGAGCTTCAATCCGCGAGAACCTGTTTTCGACCTTCTACCTGTGAGAAACGTGTTTTCGAGGGTTAACTTCGAGAAAATCAAGACTTCGAAATCGTTAGAATTTCTAACTAGTTTAGAACATCGAATACTTTGAAATTTCTAAAACCTCAGAATATCGAAAACTTTAGCTTTGAAAACTTTCATAACTTCGAAAACTTCTTTGAACTTCGAAAAGCTGAGAATATCGAAAA